GCACGAGGCAGACGTTTCCCCCTCCCTCTGCCCTGAGAGCACCAGCCAATGCCCGTCCAACGGGGACCAGGGGTCCTGCAAGAGCCTTCCCAGGAGCAGCCAGGGCCCGTCCCACTACGGGACCAGGGAGGAAGGAAGGTCAGTCACCTTGAGAAAGGAAATTCCACCTCTTCACTGAGGAGGATTTAAACCCCGGTTCACAGAATTAAGTGTGGCCTGTGCCAAGCCTTGCAAAGGTGTGTGGAAATTTCCTTCACAACACCAACCCATCCAGAACTTAAAGCGAGACTCAGAGCCAATTAACCAAGTGAGGAGTCATTCATCCTCAATAACAAAAGACCAGCTCTTCTCCATGGCTCAGAGCTCACCTCTCCACTGGGCTTGGAAAGCTGCTTCTCATGAAGCAGAGCATGAGAGAGGACCAAGGCAAAAGGGAGAGGAGCACTGACCCAGCATCCCCATCCCTGCCCCTGAGAACACCATGCCACTGGATCTTCCAGCATCCCGGCTGGGTGGTACTGGGATGCCATTCCCACAGCGGCTGAGCTGACCTGCGGGAAGTGCCTCTCCCTCTCCGGACAGCCGGAGGAAACCCAGCCTTCCACTCCAGCCGTTCACCCCACGTAGCTTATTTTAGCCAAGGTCCAGGTTTGGGAGCACTTTCATCCCATTCCAGCCCCAGCTACACACTGCCAATTAATTCCTGCTTCAATTATTCTCCCAGCCAGACACTTGATTTATGGTCAATTAGCATTGACGAGGGTCTGCCCCACACACAGCCCAAAGCCCACATTTCCAGCCCCCCTCAGGCCAGAGAGCTGCTGATTGTGGCAGTAGAGGAACAGTCAAGAAGCAAACATCTTCTCTTATTAGCACCACACGGTGGTATTTTGACCAGTGAGCTCACACTACAAGAAGCTGAAGACAGTGGGATCTCTGGGAACTGATGGATTGGTGATCCCATTCTCTCCATCTGCCAGGACCCACAGTGACACTGACAATGGGCAAAGAGCTGGCAGCAAAGCGAGACTGGAGATCCCAACACATCAGCGGTGATGTCACGCCTGGAGACCTGAGATCCCAGCACATCAGCGGTGATGTCACACCTGGAGACCTGAGATCCCAACACATCAGCGGTGATGTCACACCTGGAGACCTGAGATCCCAACACATCAGCGGTGATGTCACACCTGGAGACCTGAGATCCCAACACATCAGCAGTGATGTCACACCTGGAGACCTGAGATCCCAACACATCAGCAGTGATGTCACACCTGGAGACCTGAGATCCCAACACATCAGCGGTGATGTCACACCTGGAGACCTGAGATCCCAACACATCAGCAGTGATGTCACACCTGGAGACCTGAGATCCCAACACATCAGCGGTGATGTCATTCCAGTGTGATGGAAACCCTGACTTCATGTGACAGCATTGCTGGCTGGAGAGCACCGAGCCACCGTGCAGCGTCCCCTTGGGTCCTGCCAGACACACAGATCTTCATTATTTAGGATGCAAGTTTGGATGCCACTGGGGTTGTGTCCTCCTCTATAGGTCCTTGCTGTTACAGGCAGTCTCGTAAGTGCAGTGTAACCACCTGATAACCAAAGCTGTTATTTCATGAAGGTGACTTGCTACCATCCTGTTCAGCGTCATGTCTAATTGTGAACAAGAAGCTCTCCAAATCCAGCTTCTTCTGTTGCAAGCGCAAGCATTAATCCGAGTTTGAAGAAGGAGGATTCATTACATTCTCAGTCTCCAAGTAGGGGTTTTCCACAAAGCTCAGCTGAGAAACCATGACACACTTAGAGAGGAGAGCTCATAGGCTGGTCCGTACCTTCCAAGTTCTCTTGCACAAAGATAACTGCAAGCCTCACTGCATTCAAGACAAACACTGCCCCTAAATAAACAAACATGTACCTAATTATAGGGCACATGCTTTCCTAGAAATCACACAGATTTAGGCATTCTGCTCACATCTTCCGGGGCCTCTAGCAAGAACTACTGGAGTCACAAGTCAAAAGACTTTCAAGACATCTTTGCCCAGCACGATGGAAAAGTTGACAGAGTAAAGCCTGGAAGAAGGAAAATGTGCTTCACATTACTGGAAAGGCCACGTGGGGTAAAACTCTCAAAACCCTTTTCAAGAAGTAAAATTCTCAACTCCCTGTTGAAAAGGGCCAGCCCCAGCCCTATTTCTGTGACCCAAGGGCAGATTTCGAGCAGAACTCGTTCCCTGTGTTTCAAAGTGGATTGTTTTTTCCCAGAAGCGAGGAAGCGTGTTTAAAGGTTACACATATTGAGCCAAGCCATTACTTTACAATGAGTCTTTTCTTCCTCACAGTCTAACAAATGCCTTTGGTACAGGGGCTAGATGAATACAGCCCAGGGCCATATGGCATCACTCCAGAGGGGACTCCGACCATGACCAGGATCTCTTCTCCCAGGGGGTGGGATCCCCAGTGTGAAGGTCTGTACCCTTGGGTGCTGATGATCACCCTTAGCATCATGTAAGTCAGAGAGCATCAGCAATAACTGAGGGGTTAGGACAGCTCCTGGCATGTGTTCTAAGCAGTCAGCGTGAACCATGCTCAAGGCACAGCCTCAGTTTGGGGAGTCAATCACAGCAAGAGCACTCTAATGTGTGCATGCTAACTCCTTCATCTCCTCTCTGGGAAAACCAGAAAGCCATTAAGCAAGACAATCTGGGGATACAGACACCAAAAGAGAGCAAGAGGAGGAACCTGTGGGTGCCAAACCAGTGTATGCCCCATCCCTGGCAGTGCTCCAGGCCAGGTTGGACACAGGGGCTTGGAGCAACCTGCTCTAGTGGAAGGTGTCCCTGCCCATGGCAGGAGGTTGGAGCCGGAGGAGCTTTAAGGTCCCTTCCAACACAAACCATGCCCTAATTCCATGATCCTATGAACCTGCTGTCTTGTACCTGCATATTCTTGTTCACATGCCTCTCAGTGCCTTGCCACAAACACATCTGCTCTATCCGCTGAGCACTCCCCAGATTTACACGTTTTCAGCATAGGTCTGGATTCAGGAAAATCCACCTCTCCCCTCTCATTACAGTCTTTGTAACTGTCTAATTTTTAAAGAGATCCATATGTAACATATATTAATAGTCAGATTCAAATCCAGTCCGCATTAAACCTCAGAAATGTTGTATCTGGCAGTGGGACTGCTGCACATTTGTTCCTCATTTAATATTATTCACAGGGTTTGAGGCATATTAAAGTCTATTAAGAAAAAAGTATCTGTCAGAAGAGATTGCTGTAATTGATTAATGAAGCAAACGTGGCCAGAACTCAAAGCCCAAGCGCACAGATCCCTCTGCTCTGCTGCTTGGGGCAGGAAAGACAAGCAGCCCCACGAGCTGCTGGTGTGCGACACTGGGGTGGGTTTGCTAGTGCTGCTGTTGTGCAGGGCTGGCAGCTGAAAACCCCTCTGCCCGCTATAGGAATGCATATTCCTACATGGAATTTCCATATTCCACATGGCTGCTACAGCCAATAGGTTCCAGGCATGATTGTACAGGTCTGCTCCTTCCTTGTTTGGGGAATCTCACACTCATCCTCATTATTTGGTGGAGTTTCTGCTGCTGGTGCTCTCTGCCCGCTCCTCACCAAAGGCAAACGAGGCCAACACCACTCCTCACAGCATCATCCTGCTCTTTTCCACCCTCACAGGTCTTGGATTCCTTCTGGACTGAGCCGAGGGAGGGCTGTGGGGGGACCTTGGGACCCTATCAAAAGCTGCCTCTAGATATGAGCAGCAGAACTAAGCCAGCAACACCTGCATGTGCTGGAGAAAACCCTCTCATGAAACAGCCTATAAGACAAACCACCTTTGAGAAGGAAACCATACGACAGAGCAAGATCTGAACACTCCTCCCAGTCTCCTCCTCATTCCCCAGATACCGCTACAGCACTCATCATGGACCAACACACAATGGTCAGGGAGCTCAAAGGCAGAAAGGAGTGAAACACCATTCTTCTTCCCTTTGAGGAGACAGAGGAGAGCAAGAGTAATTTCTGACCTTGCTAACAAGGCGTTAGTCAAGAGATGGGTACAGAAGATGGAGATCTGCTCAGCTCCATCCACCTCCTCGTATCAGGCTGCTGCTGGAGGCAGCGCTGCCCTTGCCCTGCCTCTCAGAAACCACGGGGTGGGAAGGTAGGGCAGGCTGCAGGCAGAGTGCTGGTGGGAAAAGAGCTGAAGAGAGAGGGAAGAGACAAGCAGCAAAGCAGAGAGAAGGAAGAGAAAGGTGGATGCTCCACATCCCTGACTGTTCAAGGCCAGGTTGGATGAGGCTTGGAGCAACCTGCTCTAGCGGAAGGTGTACCAAGGGTTGGAACTGGATGAGCTTTAAGGTTTTCAGCCCAAACCAGTCTGGGATTCTAGAATAGGAGACAGAAAAAAGAAAGAAACCCCCACACCACGAAGTGAAGGGAATCAGCATCACGGGATTAAGAGGGTGCGGTGGATGCTGGAAGCAGCAGAAATAGAGGCACATTGGCCAAGGCAGGCTCAAACAGACTCTGAGTGTGCTGTGCTGTGCTCCAGGCAGGGCAGGCAGCACCCTTTGGAATGCGCCCAACAGCTCCATCAAACATAATGCTGACCATGAAGTTGGTCACTGCCCTCGAGGGGGGTGTCTGTGTTGGGTCCTGCCCACCCACGGCACTGCCCAGGCTCCTCATGCCACCAGCAAGCTGATTCAACGCAGCCTAGCTTGGGGGGAAGGCAGTGATGGGGCTGGATTTAAGTCGGATTAATTCAGGGATCTGGTTCACCACAGGAGCCTGGGCTTCACCAGCCCAAGGAAAGCACAGCAAGACCTGCACGGAGATGTCTAGCAAACATGATGTTTTAAACCCACACACAGAAACTCCTTAACCTCTGGAAGGATTGCAGGAAGAGCTGAGGGCTTTCCAGATCCCAGACACGGATCTCCTCTCCCCAGCCTGTGTGCAGGGTGCTGCTGCCATACCTGTGGTTCCGGCTCTATGTTGATCCGGTACGCTTGAGCCTTGCCATCTTCCAGAACAGGGGGTGCCCAGGTCTTCCCTTCAGCTCTGCAATGGGAAGTTAAATAAAGTCAAAGTAAATTGTTTCAAAAAACCCTATAAACTCAAAAAACCCCAAACAACAAAAACCAGGCTTCTGAAAACACAAACAAACAAAAGAACCCAACCAAAACCAGACCAAAAAGCACCAAGCAAACCACAAACCCCAAATATATAATAGTATATAAGCCTGCCAGGGAATGACTATACATACATGTTTGTCTAAAATTATCCTCAGAAACGTTACAATAGTAAACAGAGAAGATGCCAGCTCCATGCTAGTAAAACCATGAAGCTCAAAACCTTTCTTGAACTACCGGCCCCAACTTTGTGTGGAGTTTAAGGTACAAACTTGTTTCAGTTCAAGAAACCAGCAGACAGGCTTGTGGTGGTTCTTGTTCTGCATGGTCCTGGCTTTGCCCCTTTATTCTGGCCCTGAATCCTGAAATGTGTTTTGATTATGTGTATATATGTGTATGTATGTGCATATATATCTGTGCATATATAGGCAATCCCTGGCAGGTCTATATACTAGACTACAGCAAGAATTATATCAACGCCTTTCAGGGAGAAGGTTTACACAACCCTGTATGAATCATCCTGACCCTTTCAAGAGGTGCCAAATAAAGCCCTAAAAATAAAGTTTCCATTCACAAATGCATCCCCAGTCCTGCCAAGCCAGAGCAGGATGCTCCCACTGTCCAAAGGTTTTCCATGTGCCTGGTCATTTTTTCCCCACAGAGGCATCTGGGGGCATGGCTGGAATGCGATCTCCAGCGCTTGGAGCAGGAGGGAGCTGCAGGGGGACAGGGAACATACAGCAGGCACATACACAGGCTTTTCTGGATGCTAAGAGGTTGAGTTGGGAGATGGAAACTACATGAAGATAAAGGTTTCAAACACAAACTACCCTGTTTATCATGACAATCTACACCACCTAATGAAAACAGGTTGTGTTCTGATAGGCACAGATTATTTGCCACGACCAAGCATCCTCTGCTATCGGACTCTGGCCCCTGCACATAAGACATTCAGCTTTGGTTTAATTATCTGCAGAGGCCAAGTGTGCAAAATAAGGAACATGGTTTTAACCCAGGAATTCTTGAGGTGATTTTTACTTTGGGCGCTTTTCATTTAAACCAGTCAGCATACAAACCCACCTCTCCAAACTCAGGGTCCAATCCAAAACCTACCAAAAGCAAAGACTCCCACTGGCTTTATCACAGTTTGGATCCATTCCCTGAGGATTTAAGCATTTTTTTGTGTTCCAAACCACTGCTCAAGCACTACCATCACAGCTTTGTCAACAGGGCATAATATACTCTCTCATAGCTAGATGTCTTGTTCTGATAAATTATCTTTACTGTAATTATTTGGGTTTAGGTGGGTCTTTCCAACCGGTTTTGGCGGGACAAAGGAAACTGTCCTTCCCAGGAAGGGCAGCGTTCCTAGCAATCCCAACTCACTTTTTGCCACGATCCAGGCCTGTGTATATTACTTCCACATTAAGAATTTCATCTGAAGGCCCAGAACAATGAAAATGCCTAATTACATTGGCAGAGACCATCACTATTATTTCCGTGCTTCTTCCCTTGCATCGAGTCAGCCTGATGCACACTCGCGCTGCTGCACGATGGGGCAGTTACGACATTCCCCTTTGCTCCATTCTCGTGCCCACATGCCAAACACAGCTTGAAGGATTCCCAAAGTCTTCAGTTTGCCAGTGAATAACCAAGATCCAGAAAGAGATTCTGACTGCACGAGGTAAGAGTGATAACAGCAAATTTGCTTTGCATGAAGCTATGGCATTCGCTCACTGGGACTGCCAGCACCTTCTAGTTGGTGTTTCACAGTTCTCCATAGTCCCTGACCAACAAAGATCACACCATCTCTACCAGAAAGCACCTAAACTTGTGTATTCCAAAGTCATTATAGGTGTTTTTACACTCTGAAGACATGGCCAGACTCAGGTTTGCAAGTTGAAACCCATCTGTAGTTAGTGCTTTTAACAACTCAAGGCTTCACCATCAGTTCTTCAGAGTGACCAAAAGTTCTTGGCATAAACAAGACAGCCTCATACAGCTTCCAGGGATGGCCTGAACAAAGCCCGGCTCAGCCCAGCCACAGCTTCCACTCGAACCACCCTGAAATTCAGCTGATACAGCACAACTTAGGTTCTATCTGGCACTCTTAAAGGCAAAAGAGAATGGGAGAAACACCAGCCTCACCAAACAGAAGCGCGAGTCATAAGCTTGATGAGCATTTATTTATGCTTACACAAGGAGAGTCCTTTTCCCCAGGAACAGCAGAATGCGAGGTAATCCAAAATAATTAGGAGATGACTCTGACACAGCATGATGCCACGGGCAGCTCCTGCACAACGGGCTGCTGGTGGCCACCCCAAGCCACCCTGGCAGCAGGTTTGTGCTACCAACAGCCACAACGTTGTGTTTGGGGAACAGCAAAAACCTAATCACACTTCTCCAATGTAATGGGTGAGAGATCAGACACTGCCCTCAAATGTTCCAAGTCATTTAATTTACAGCTCAAGGACGGGAAAAGTGTTTTCAGAGGTGGTGTTGGGGATTAAAGGCAGCTATGTGGAAATCATTACCCTGCACTAACAACACTGCTCTGTTCTAACACTGGTCGGACAACCCTACAAAAAATAACTTGACCTAGGCTAGCACCAGGCCTTCAACATGGGGCTTTGTGGGAAACAGACCCATTAACAAGACATAGCTAAATAAAGTTGCAGACACCTTATATCCCACCATTTGTTTTCTAAGAGACTCAACATCATTCTCAGAAGATTACTTGCACATGCTCACACACTCTACCAAAATGTTTTTTCACCTGGTAATGATCCACAAGTCTTGCTCCCTCCGTTTGCAAAGCTGCTTTTCAGTCACAGGAATTCCTGGGTCTTACTGAACTTCTCATTTCTCCATCCCCTTATAAACTAACATTTAGCTCTTGGGAAGGTGCCAGACCAGCTGAGCAGGTGACAGCCACACAAGCCCCCAGAGTCACCCCAGTCCTGTGTACCACCCCAATCTGCATGGTCCCTTCTAGGGGGTGTGTGTGTTTGACTCCAGGTTCCTGTCCATCTCCTGAAGCCCATTCACCTCCCACGATGGCACATCAATGTAGTCACACTAATTTTTATCACCGACGCAGCCATTAGCCTTCCAGAAGCTGAACTCAGTCTACAAGCAGCTACAGATGATGCTCCTAATTGCCCAGGATTGTGAACCTCGCCATGATAACCATAAGGTGTTGGATCCATCCTGATGTAGGTTTTTCACCCCCATGGACCCAGCTCATCCAGGCTACATGAAGGAGAAGCTGTGGGATTTCTCCTCCTTCATTCCTCTCAGCTGAAACCATCACTGTGTATCGAGGCTCTGGAAAGCTGCCGGTTTTCCTCTCTATTGCTCCTCGAGGAGCTCCAGAGGGGAAGCTGTGATTCACTTTTTCAGTTGTACTTTTACTGGAAACTTGAGAACATCACACACTGTCATCCCTCCCATCCTCCAGCCGCTCGCAGCAAACAGACCCCAACAACACCTCCACGAGCTGGGGGAGGCGGGCTCGGAAGAACATCAACTGTGTGAGCTTCCAGGGACTTTTGGGGCTACACGTCCAGCAGAATCATTACTGGGCTTTCTCCCATAGAAACTTCCAGAGAAGTTCCATCTCTGTACAGACAACAGGAATAAACAGAAAATCTTCCCACTCAAAGTCTGCAGGCAGACGCAGCAGAACCGCAGCAGTGCACTGGTCCATGTGGGCTCTCCACGCACAGTTCATCCCCTGGGAAGCAGGACCCAGTTATCCATCCTGCTGCAGGGCACAGCTCATGGCTGCAAATCTCACTGCAGCTCTGCACTTGGGTTTGGTCCCTCAGTCTCAAGCACATGAGAACAAATCTCACTTGCACTGCAAGCACAACACTGCACGCCACTGCCACCCGTATGGAATTTGGGTTTTCCCAGCCTATGCACACCACTTGCTTCCTTCTCAGCCCCTCACCCGTGCTCTGCCAGGGTTGTCCAGTGCAGAACAGCCCCCAGAGCTGGGCAGGGGTTTCCACAGCTGCTATTTAAAGAGCAGAGTTACCACCTCTGAAATAACCTTCCCTCCATGGCAAGGGCCACCCCTGCAGCACACCCACCAGACACAGGGAGAAAGTGCTTCCAGGACTTGAGACAGAAGGAACCAAGGCTGAACCTTTGAGGATTTATGCTGTAACACCCTAAGCAGGAAATAACTACAATGGAACAACCCCAGGGTCTGCGGCTGTGCCTGGGGTCAGGCAGATGCTCCCAGTGCTCCAGCACCCACCCAGCCCTGCACACAAACAGCCCCGGGGTTACTACCTAAAGAAAGGGCTGTAACGGGATTGGAATGGAAAGAACAGCATCAAAATTATTATTAATTTTTTAAATGTCTCATAACACACAGGAATTCCTCCTGCACATCACAGGAACATGAACAGGTTACTCCTGGGGTGGATGAGCCAAGAGCATACTTCTCATCTGATAAGGAATGTCTTCATCTGTGTAACTTAGAGACGACTTCACAGTGAGCAAAAAAGAACAGGTTTTACCATGTGGTTATCCTTATCCACACAGTTCAACCTCTGAAACCCTTGGCTGCCAGTCAAACGCATACATCTACATGTTTCTGTGCGCAACACCTCACGGGGCTGCTTCACACACCAGGCATCTTCCCCAACCCCTGCTGCACACCTGCCCTTACCCCCCTTGCAGCTAACAGTGATGCAGGAGGAACAGTTACCCGTGCTACCTTGGCTTGGGATTCAGCTGGGAAGACAGTGCTGGAATAGGCTGCCTGGTTTATCACCAGGGCATCCCCAGCCATCCCCCTAAATCCTCCCCAAAACCCCGTGTGCCAGGCGCTGCTCCAGCCTTACTGAGCCCACTTGAACTCCTGGCCCTGCATTTCAGAGCCATTCACCACAACCTGAACGCCCACCCCTTGTTCCAGGGATGCCGAGGTAATTCCTCACACGTTACATCAGAACCCACATGAGCATCGGTTGCATAAATTGACTCCTTTCATGAGCTGAAGAGGATTTTCCTCTGCTCTGTTTTGGAACAGTGAGGCTCCTGTGCTACTTAGCTTTCCACAGCAACACTGCCCAGAAACAGCCCCACACATGCTGGAGCAACGCAGGACCTGACAAAGCCAGGGACAAAGCATCCGTTAACTTCAGGGGGGACAAGGATCTAGCCAAGAAAGGCTTTAGGGAATAGGGATGTCAAGTAGGAGCAAAAACCACCCCAAACGCAGTTAAAGTCCTTGATAAAGGACAGAGAAGAGATTTTTAAAGAATCATCATAGAATAGTTTGGGTTGGAAGGGACCTTCAAAGGTCTTCTAGTCCAACCCCCCTGAAATGAGCAGGGACACCTTCCACTAGGTCAGGCTGCTCAGAACTACATCCAGTCTGGCCTTGGGATGGTGCATCCACCACCTCTCTGGGCAGCCTGAGACAGTGTTTTAGCACCCTCATTACAGGGGCAGCCTCGGAGGTACCAGCAGGGATGCTGCGCTGCAGGGTACAAGGAGAGCCACAGCCCCAGCACACTGAGAAGCTGAGACATCCCCTTCCCAGCAGCTCTCCCAGCGCGGGCTTGGGGCCAGCTCCTCAGGAAGGATGCGGCACCGCATGCTCCCAACTGGCAGATGACAACAGCTCCAGAGGAGCTCCCGGGCTCGCCTTCCCCCTCTGG